ATTTTTTTTCAAAACTGTATTGCTGGTAATATTTTTTCTTCAAAAATGTATTGCTGGTAATATTTTTTTTTTAAAAAAGGTACTGCTGGTAATATTTTTTTTTCAAGAAGGTATTGCTGGTAATATTTTTTTTTTCAAAAAGGTATTGCTGGTAATATTTTTTCTTCGAAAATGTGTTGCAGTTAATTTTTTTTTCAAAAATATATTGCTAGTAATATTTTTCCTTCAAAAATATATTGCTGGTAATAATGTATTGCTGGTAATAATTATTTACAAAAATGTATTGCCAGTAAAATTTTTCCTAAAAAATTTATTGCTGGTAATATTTATTGTCTTCAAAAATGCACTGCTGGTAATAATGTATTGCCGAAAATAATTTACCTCAAAAAATTTATTGCTGATATTAAAACCTATTTCTACAATTTCATAGTATTTTACTTCAGTTTGTGGGTTAAATATTTGCCCATAGTTGAGATCATAACAGGTGCTACCGCTCCGGGTCAGGGTGGACATGGGAACATATGGAATTAACACATTAATTCCACTTATATTTTACGCGCGCGCGAGTTTCCTCCCTTCCTTTCACACTCGTGCGTGTGTGCGCGCGGTTTTCACCCCTTTCTTCCTCTCACAGCTAGACATAGCAGTAACCTTCGCTAGCTCCTACTGATGAACTCAGACTAACAGATTTTGAATTTTTTCCCGCGCGTTTTTCGGCGTCTCAAAACGGCCAGCGTTTGCAAACCAGTTGCTTCCCGATCTTCAACCTGACTAGACGGGCAACTCATTTATTCCGTGCCCTTAACCCATATGCGGGCCGGAATATCTTATCTCAACGATGTTGACCCCACACTTATTTACCAAGATTTCTTCTCATCTTGACGTTAACCGCAGGTCAACCAGTCGCTCCGTTTTCGACCAGAAAACGTTTGAGACCCATCGTTCGAGACGCGACACAGTCGCAAGCAGAACTTACCCCTCGTCAGTGAACCAGTAAATACAGACAAGGATATCTTATTGACGAACAAACTTGCTGCTAGCAGGTCAGACCTTCTCCGTTTTCGACCAGAAGACGTTAGAGACACACGACACGGTCGTGAGCAAAAACTTCGTATTCAACAGGTGACTTACATTTATCCCTCGTCAGTCAACAGTAAATACAGACAGGGATATATTACTAACGAACATACATTTTTCATCTCTCTGGGCTCGCCGTAAACAACTCCACAAGACTATGAAACTCGCTTCAAACATTCTTCGTTTCTCCTGGCTAGATGCCCACAGCAATCCTGTAAAATTTCCAGCAGCTAATTCAATGCCTCACCAAAAACTCTGAGACGACCGAACATTCTTTCTAACTATGAACCTGAACACAAAAATACCACACACACTTGCAACATGCATGCTAAAAATCCACAGTGAGTACTCCTTTCTATCTGTGCGCACATACACCTCGTGTCTAACGAGTTCCCTTTTTCCAGAACCTTGTAAAACTCTTTTTCCCGCCTTAGCCATCTTGCTTTCTATTTTGGCGCGGGACATTTTTCATTAATCTCGTACCACGAGATAAGTTACTTGTTTCAATCTAATTAAAGTTACACATGTTTTACAAATAGACGTCCTTGTCATTTTATTCCGGTTATCTCTTTGATGTTTATTAGTTTATGCACTTGTTGATTGACCCCTTTCCTCTCACTGTTCATTCACATATTACATTTTTATTTTTTTTTACATTGCTTGTGGACTTGGTAGTTTAGTGTGGTGTCTGGCACAAGGCCACTTAGTAATAAACCAGCACTGCACGCTGCCGGGTCTGCAATAAACACCAGCAATTATGAGGTGGTTCTACGCTCCTCAAAACCTCCTGCTGTTGGACATAGTTTATTGTCTTACCCAGGACGCGCATGAATTCAATATGAGTTCTTCAGCAACAGAAGCGTACGGGAAATATTCATCCTGTCTATAAAAAATGAAGCTTTAAGTACCCAAATATGTCATCAATGATTTCGCTCCTTTCGATTGGGAGAATTCCCTTTCGAAGATTCCTAACGATCTGAACGAACATGTTTTGTCAATATTGAGACTCTGAAAACCGTAGTTTACGAAAATCATAATCACAATTGCTATCCTATTCAATACACACCACACATCGATTATAAAATACATTTATGTACACAGAAAAGTATTTGAAAGTGTCAATGGGCCCATCTTCATTAGACTGCTTCTCTGCATAATCAAAATTTTGTATAGTAGATCCTCTACCTACAATATCCTGGTTAGGATCCTCAAGTGATTAAAAGTCGATTCTCTAATTTTATCCAATGGAAATGTCAATAATAAGTAGCCACTGAAAAAAGGCTAATCCTTCTCTAAAGGAGAGATAACAAAAATACAAAATTTACTAAGAGCTACAAAGGAGAGGAAATTGTGGAGAACCATGATCGCCAACGTCATGAAGCAACGCATAGAAAAATAGGATCGCCAAAATTGAAATACAATCGAAAACATTATACTTTATGCATGCGGGATATTAAGGGTGTCATCTATCAATAAGTGCTAAACTGAAGTTAAACAATGTGGATATTGTTATAAATTGAAAATATTGCACAAAGATTTACGGAAACAGCGCCTATCATTTGTTAAATTGTCTGATGCTCACACACGATAATACAAAGTGACATATTGCCTAATTCACTCAGGAAATGATTATGTCACTAAATATTGAAGTTTTGCCTCATCCTCCTTAATCTCCTGGCTTTGCTCCATCTGAATATCATCTTTTCTGAATATTTTTTTCATTTTTAGTTTGTAAACGATTTATTCATTTCTAATAGGTTTCTTTTTAAACATTTTATGCCCGATTTGACAAATAAACATGATGAGGTTATTGATAATGACATGAAATGTTACCTTTATTAAATATATCAATTGAGATCAAAGAAGCATTTTTCTTTGCATTTTTTTAGATGAGGAAAAACTTTCTTTCCACGCTAATAAATTATTTAGTCCACGGGCGTAGATTGTGGACTAAATAAAGATCCGGTTCGAAATTCCAGTGTATATTACCTGAAGAATGCTGGAGGGTATAACGACCGAAATGTCGTGAATATGGCAATAAAAGTGAGGACCAGTCCGAACGATGTAAATAATGTAAATAGTTATATATATATATATATATATATATATATGTGTGTGTGTGTGTGTGTGTGTGTGTGTGTGTGTGTGTGTGTGTGTGTATGTGTGTGTGTGTGTTTTACAGGAAGAATGATTAATAAATACGTAATCTGAAATGAGCTTTGATCTGAAATTTTCTGTACATAATGCTTGTTCCTTATGATTCTTATTTACAGTTGAATTTAAGTGTATTGACCAAAACTGTAGATTGATTTTTTTTGTTTTTTTGTTTTTACGAATTTATCGACATTTTGCAGGTTATTTAAGGCAGGAAATATTTTTTTGATTTTAAGAATTTGGGGGAGAGAATAATAATTTACTGATACGTCCCACTAATTAACCTATAGCGGGGAGGAAGAAGACGTGGATTCATAGCTTTGCCATGGGTATTTACTTGTAAATGAATATAACGAACCCAACTGGAATTGGAACTCTACGATGCTGAGCCGTTGTCCGTTGCCTCACCCACACGTCTAAACTTACAGCACCTGGTATTCCCAAGAGGTCAGCCATCAATATTGACTAGGCTTGACATTTAAGTATCGGACACACACACACACACATATATATATATATCGTCATCCGCAGACAGACTGTTTCGCTGTATCACAGCTCATCAGTGTGGCTAGATATCCGATTGCTTCAAGCCGAAGAAGCATCAGTCGAAGAATCTACCCCTAAGCTACTGGCGCACGGTAGAGAGAAAGGTGCATTTTACCGTATTTATTTTAAACGGAGAACTCAAATCATTAGAAGAGTTTGCATTAGCAACAGTAGTAATCACTGTTTACAAATTCGCGCTTTATCTCCAGAGAGCTCAACCGAATTAATTTTCGCGAGCATTATATCGTTGTCCACAGACAGGTTGTTTCGCTGTATCACAGCTCATCAGTGTGTCTAGACATCCGATTGTTTGAAGCTGAGATCGAAACCCGACTGATTTAGCATCAGTCCACTAATCAATCTACCACTAAGCAATTGGCGCACAGTAGGGAGGAAGGTGAATTTTAGCGCATTTAATTTAAACAAACACAGCAGAAGAGTCTTGCATTATATATATATATATATATATATATATATATATATATATATATATATATATCCCTGATTTGGAAAAGTTTATTGCGCTAGCAACTTATAGTATATCGTCTAATCCAGAATCCGATAGTTTAGAATCATTGTTCAGTAAATTACAATTCTTACTATTTTACGTGTAATATAGAAGTAGATCAGGGCGAAGGCCTGGGTAGGCTTTGATGAGAGATTGCCCATTGCAGTTGCCCATTCAAAACGTCTCCCCTCTACACACCACTGATTTTGTCAAAAGGAAATGTAGTGACCAATACAGCTTGGTGCTGGCGTCGTTGCAGGAGTTGCCAGAACCTAGTTGAACATAATATCAAACTGTCTTAGGGACTCCGGTTCCGGATTTGTCGTCAGGATTTACTCCCGAAGCCATGATTTGGCATGGCCGTAGGCAGCGGAGGTTTAAATTCATAATGTTCCGTCTCTTAAATGGACTATCCTTCCGGGCTGACGAGTTCAATCTACCCGAAGTATGCATGTATCCGGCAGGTTCAGGAAAAGACACGAGAAGAAAACTAGGGTCTATTTGTTGTTTCTGTAGACTTCACAAAGGCTGTCGATGCTGTATCTCGAACTTCTTTTTGGAAACAAGGCGATATCGGGGGAAAGCATCTTCATACGCATTTGCTGCAGTTGAGGTTGTGTGGGCCTGTACAGCCATAACAGAGCATGCAATGTCATCCACAGCTGAGACATAACTCTTTGGACGCAAATCCAAGGTTTCTTGAAACCAACGGACGTTACACACACACACAGAGAGAGAGAGAGAGAGAGAGAGAGAGAGGTAGATTGAGCCAGACTGTAACGAAAACAAACGTAAACTGCGACTAGTTGTTTTAAAGTTTTCCATCATTATGCCCAGTCAGATATGTCGTTTAAATGATAGGGCATTGCGCATTATCTACAAGGACATTCGCTATATCTCGTAAAAGGACATTCGCTATATCTCGTAAAAGTACATTCGCTATATCTCGTAAAAGGACATTCGCTGTATCTCGTAAAAGGACATTCGCTATATCTCGTAAAAGGACATTCGCTGTATTTCGTAAAAGGACATTCGTTATATCTCGTAAAAGGACATTCGCTATATCTCGTAAAAGGACATTCGTTATATCTCGTAAAAGGACATTCGCTATATCTTGTAAAATGGACATTCGATATATCTCGTAAAAAGACATTTGCTGTAAAAGGACATTGGCTGTATCTCGTAAAATGGACATTCGCTGTATTTCGTAAAAGACCATACGCTGTATCTCCTAAAAGGACATTCGCTGTATTTCGTAAAAGACCATACGCTGTATCTCGTAAAAGGACATTCGCTGTATCTCGTAAAACCTTTGACAAAGATTTTACAAAGCGTATGAAGCATATCTATAATTGGCAATCTATGATTTTCACTTAACTTGTCAGTACATGGAGACATGAACTTGGCTAAGAGTTCAATTCTTCTTCTTTGTCGTATCTCTTCTAAAGGTGGATGATCATGACTCTCCCCAACTTCCTATATATTGTATCTCTTGCTAAGTTCTATGGTTTCCCCATCACTTCCTGGCCCTGTACTCCTTCCTTGTATGCAAGTTCGTTAGGTAGGTTAGTCACTGCTTCTCTCTTTTTTGCCTTCAATATGAAATTCCATCCGTCTCTTACTGATTACATGTTTAAGCGTCCCTTTTGTTTCCATTTAACTTAAAACTTCCTCGCTACTTACATATTCATTCCTTGGTTTTCTCAGCATCCTCCTGTAGATCAACATTTCTGTTGCCTTAAATAATTTCCTCATCTGTGAGTAAATTTTCCAACATTCAGTACCATATAAAAGACTTTTATTACGTACAACACTCTTTTCCTTGTCCCTAACAAAATTTACTTGTTTCTTAAAACTTTGCTTTGTTTTTGGAAAGTAGTTTTCGCTATTCCAATGCGTCTTCGTATTTCGTTGCCACATTTTCAGTTATCAGTTAAAACACTTCCCAGATATTTTCGCACTTGCTTGATTTTGATATTTTCAGTTCCTAGATGGCATCTTGGGATGTTCTTCTTACTGACAACAACACAGTTCATTTTCTTACAATTCATAGATAGTCCTTTCTTCGCAGCTTTCCCCGTTCTGTACGAAATCCGGCGGTTTCATAATATATAAGAGATCCTCTAAAACGAAGAAAAATTCTGATAAAAAAATTCTTCAAGCTTCCTGAAAAAGTAGTACTAAAAACAAAATTAGCATTTACATTTTCACTGCTCATTTAACGACTTCATGTATATATAATTTCTTTGGCATAGTTATCGTTTTACCTTCGTCTTTTCCAGTGTGTCATTTGTGTGTCGTTGTAATAGAGTCTTATAAGCTTAACTTTATTTGATTCAGTACTAACTACACCGCCCCTCCCCCGGTAAGAATTGGCTTTTTACATATTTACTCAACTTTGTTTACGACGTTGTTTCTCTGAGGCAAAACGAACGCGTGTTTGAATTGCAGCAAGAACTACGTTATTTCTATTCCACGCTGCTTACTCACTGCTAATACTTCATCTAATTAACATAAAGATGATACTAGTTGTTCTAAAATTTCGCAAATATTGTGCCGCTAGAAATTTTAAATAAACATATTCACATTAATTTTATTCTGACTGTCTCGTCGTCATTCTTGCAAACACGTTACAATGATCATCGTAGTTAAACAAAACCATTAAATTCCTTGGATATTACGCAGTATGATATTTAACGTTTTGGGGATAGGTCAGTGCATATTATATACAGGAAAATGCTTTACTTTCATACTATTTGTCGTTGCCGCGGTAAAGCAGAAGACAGTTTTGGTAAAACAAAAAAAGTTTTCTTATCTTTAGCGGAAACGATTTATTGAAAGACTTTGGAACAAGGAGGTTTAATACATAAAATCCGTGGGAAAGATTGACGATTTAATTCACATATAGACGGCACCTGGTGTGTCGAGGGTTTAAACAATGGAAAATAAACCAAGACTTAGAGGGCAATGATGATTGACATGTGTTCTACGCAGCTGAAAATGCAAGCTGTAAAACGAAAACTTCATTTTCGTAAACAATGAATTTGATGTTGATTCCCCTGGTTGGAAGTTGAGTTAAAATACCAAGAGTGGGTAGAGAAGCCACCCACGCTGACTGAGAAGATTTAGTGAGAGGTAATAATATGAGAGGGTGGAAGAAGGGAATTCCCCAGAATTATAAAGTAAGCTGACAATAAAGGGGATTTACCGAGATCCCCTTATGCGTCGTGCCTGGAGCCAGTTTTGAGCGAATGTCAATAAATGCGAATGCGCGAATAGAATTTGTCAGACGAAACGTAAACGCAGACTGAGAGAGAGAGACGGCAAAAAGTTCGCCCCAGCCACCGGTCGTGATACACCCCACGTGATTGCCTGCCGAAGAGAACCCCCGACTTCAGCTTTGTGCCGAACTTTACCAAAACAGTAAGCCAAACTTTACCAAGTCAACAATAACATCACTTCCCATTTACACGCGGGTTGGGCTGATAATTAATTGGATGCGAATTCCGATATAAACCAATTATTGCACAGAAGACTGATATAAAAACAGTATTTACTTTTGTTCAATTTATACAAGTGTTTTTTTTTTCCTGTACGTCTTCGTTCTGCTTGGAGCAGCCCAACACGAACATACCTATGACGATTCCATCTTGACTGGATTATGATCAAACTTACATCATAACATGAGATAGTGTAGGCCTGAGATCTAAGCAATCTTCATCGATCAACCATGGTGTTGGGAGTTTTGGACGATTGGGAAGAGTGTTGTACGATTACATTATGATATACCACGTAAAGCTTCTAAAAGAATGTTACAATGCGTGTATGTGTATTTTAATATTTATCTTTACCTTCTTTACCTGATAGTGTAGCAATAGAACGTCTATAGTTGTGGCCTCTATATGTAGGTCACTGGGTGCTTATGAGAAGTTGGAGAAACATTTTTTCCAGGTTTTGTTTTTCTTTTAGATTATTTATAATTCTGACCTTGAGTTGATTTTATTAATTTTACTTTTATTCTAGTCTTATTTATTTACATTCTTATTTTTATTATTTGTATAATATATTTATTTATATTATTATTTATTTATGTTTTTATTTATTTTTGTAATATTCATTATATTTTATACATTTATATTGTTAATTTTTTTATATTTTATTTGAATCATTTGTTGATTAATTTTTATACTTTCTTTCCTTGTAAAACATGGATTTGAATTAAATCTTATTAGATTCATACTATAAGCAATTACTTTATTAATCTTTTGAGGTTTTAGGTAGAGTAGTACGAATTCGTCTTCATTTGGAACTGAGATTTGATTTTCTGTTTAGTAGGTTTTTTTATGGTCAAAGAATTGTCATTATTACTATTCTCTTCTGTAGACATTTTTAGATATTGTTAACTAGTACCGTTTTTCTTATTTTTCCAATAGTATTTATGGCGTATTTAGGCTTAGGGTATTGAGATTCCATATGTTTTGAGGGTGGTGACTATTTCCATTTTTTTATCTTAAGGGATGGTTTGTGTAAATGGCGTTCCCACCGAATTAATGCTATTTCTCTATATTTCTATGGTGGTAGCTACCGGTTCTCATTCGATCACCGACGTTAAGCAACGTTGAGCCTGGTCAGTAACTAGATGGGTGACCTCTTGGGAATGTCAGGTGATGTAAGCTTAGATGTGCGTGTGGTAAGATGAATAACGACTCCGAATTAAAAATCGGAAAAACCGAGTTTCAGTTCCAGTCGGGTTCGTTATGCGCATATACCTTTGAAAAAGATATGAATCTGTTTATTCTCCCTCAGCTAAGGGTTAATTAGTAGAATTTGTATCAGTAAATAATTATTATCACCAAGAGAATTCTTGCAATCTAAAAAATTTTCTGGTTTCCAGTAACATGCAAAAGGCTGATAAACCGTAAAAACAAATCAATGAATCAAATTATTTAATGGATGAGGGTTCCTTTGAACTTTACAGTAGGTTGGGAAATGTAAATCATTTTTACTAAAATAACGTACTGATATTAATTGATCGTAACTTCATGGATACACTTTGCAAAAAATGACTGTTAAAATACCCACTTTTAAGTTTCAACCTTGTCATATCCAATGAATCAGTTTTTTAGCAATGAGCACATTGTCTTGTAAAATATTTTTACAAAAAAATAATATTTTTATATAATTTATTAATGTAATATAAAACACAACAGTGCACCCGACAGCAAGGCCTCTGATCAGGTAGTTCTGTGAAGTGAGGAACCACCTCTTAATTGCTGGTGTTCCCAGGTCCACCCTGACCCGGGGTGGTAGCACCTGTTAGGGTCCCAGCTGAGTCAAATGGTTAACCCAAAAACTGGGGTCAGAATGCTATGAAAGTGTAAAAATGAGTTTTAATACCAGAAATACTTTGCAAATATATTCCCAGTAATAATTTTTTGAAGGAAAATATTATTACCAGCAATACATTATTACCAGTAATACATTTTAAAAAAAAAATATTACCAACTATATATTTTTGGCGAAAAATATTACCAGCAATATATTTTTGAAAAAATATTACAAGCAATAAATTGTTGAAGGAAAAAATTATTACCAGCAATATATGTTTGAAAAAAACAAAATATTACCAGCTATACATTTTTGGAAAAAAATATTACCAGCAATATATTTTTGAAAAAAATATTAACAGTAATTCCATTTATACGAACCTATGCTAAAACTCTTGAAGGCATTAAATAACCCATTGAGGCTTATATGCCGTAAAACAAAATAAACCCAACCAAAAGATAGATAGATAGATAGATAGATAGATAGATAGATAGATAGATAGATAGATAGATAAAAAAAAATATTACCAGCAATAAGAATCTTGTAGGCATCAAATAACCCATTGAGGCTGATATGCCATAAAACAAAATAAACCCAACCAAAAGATAGATAGATAGATAGATAGATAGATAGATAGATAGATAGATAGATAGATAGATAGATAAAAAAAAATATTACCAGCAATAAGAATCTTGTAGGCATCAAATAACCCATTGAGGCTGATATGCCATAAAACAAAATAAACCCAACCAAAAGATAGATAGATAGATAGATAGATAGATAGATAGATAGATAGATAGATAGATAGATAAAAAAAAATATTACCAGCAATAAGAATCTTGTAGGCATTAAATAACCCATTGAGGCTTATATGCCGTAAAACAAAATAAACCCAACCAAAAGATAGATAGATAGATAGATAGATAGATAGATAGATAGATAAAAAAAATATTACCAGCAATAAGAATCTTGTAGGCATCAAATAACCCATTGAGGCTGATATGCCATAAAACAAACCAAACCAAACTAAACCAAGAATGGCATTATTTCTTTTAATGATTTTTTTAAAATTCTGTTCTGGTTTCGTTAATCACTTAATGTTTGAACTTAAATTAAGTAGAGGAGCGGAGAATTCTTTGCATTTTGATCAAATCGCGATATACTTTCGTTGCTTTTTTTTCATATTCGTCCCTCTTTCTCGAAGACAAAAAGATAAAACTTATTAAGAGCTACAAAGAACAAGAAGATGATCGCCTACGTCCTTAATAGATACGGCATATACAAGAAAGAAGACGTGAAATGAAATTAGATTTGTTGTTATCAACACAGAAAATGGAATTGGCGTGTCTCTAACTTTCAGGCGCTTTCCACCAGATAACCTTGCAGAGTTATGAATTCCTATCGTCTTCTCTTAGCGAGGGGTTCTGCTGGTAAGAAAGTTGGTTCCATGTGTTGTGTTAGACAATTTTTCTCACGAGAATTTGTCTTACATATCTATTTGTCGACCACTCGTCCTTACTTTCAATATTGTTGTCACATCTGGTTTGGTGCACCTGTTATATATTTAGAGATTCTAGATAAAATCAAAAGAAGAAACTGCAATTTTCTTTGTCCTGACCTGACATAAGTCACCTTCCCACCGTCAGAATGTAGCTTCTCTCTGTCTTTTCTATAAATTCTTTCATATTTCAGTTTTTTTTATTTTAATAGACATTTTTTTTAAATTCGAAAAACGCAAGATTGCAAATATCTACAATTTTATCTTGAAAAGAAAAAGAATGCACAACGCCATTGCATTCGAATGTCAATGTAACCTGTTATAATATACGACATTTAATCATTCAAAGCGAGGCTGTTGCCAGAGGAGTCAAGGGTTGCTCTATCCGATGGAAATTGCCTTTCAGATAAGCTTGCGTCAGATAAGGCATCCACTGATGGTATTAGTTATTAGTTTTATTGATGCTACGAATATGGCGATTTATTAGTTGAGCATTCATCTATCGTACAGACAAATTGAACATATGGGAACTAGTTAGAACTACATAGAGACTATGAGGTATTATGGTGGCTGTAGTAAGAATGGTAAATAAGAATGTATTGTTTCGGTGTAAGGAATACTGTTGTATGTTTGAGTTAGTAATCGTGGATACCTAAGTTTAAGAAAAGACAGAGTGAATATCAGCATTTCCCTATCCCAACGTTTTGCCTTTTTCCACATTTATGCATTATCTCAAAATATTGTTTTCCTCTATCGTACTTTATGAATTTAAGTGCAGTACTAAATTGGCGGATAGGTCTCATCATTTTACAGTTGAAATGGCTAGATGCAATCGTAAGTTTTACTTTAACAGTTTCTTCTATTGCATTTCTGGAATGTGGAAATCTATTCTGGGTTTTACCTACCCAGTCAACTATGATCTTCAAACATTTAAAATCAATGTCAATCGTTATCTTCTGTCTTCTTAATTCTTGATCTAATTTTTTTATTGTTTTCTCTGCTTAATAGTTTTTTTTTCTCATTTTCTCTAACACTCAGTAACGCTTTGTGTGTTAGTGGCTTCATTGCCTTCCTCGATATAAAAATATGACTCTGAATTTAAGTAACTCAACTTCGTAGAATACGTACATGGTTTTTAACTGCAGTCTTCTTATTTTTTTCTGTTCTCTTGTTCAGTCTTTTTATATTTTAATAGACATTTTTTTTCATTCGAAAAACGCAAGATTGCAAATATCTACAATTTTATCTTGAAAAAAAAATGCACAACGCCATTGCATTCGAATGTCAATGTAACCTGTTATAATATACGACATTTAATCATTCAAAGCGAGGCTGTTGCCAGAGGAGTCAAGGGTTGCTCTCTTCGATGGAAATTGCCTTTCAGATAAGCTTGCATCAGAGAAGGCATCCACTGATGGTATTAGTTATGCTTGTTATTAGTTTTATTGATGCTACGAATATGGCGATTTATTAGTTGAGTCTCAAAATAACGAAGAAGAGGAAGAAAAAGAGTGAAATCAGTTTTGTAGTGGAAAGTGGTCGCGTCGCCTGATCCTTTCTGACGCCAGCCTTGATAAGTGGCGTCAAAAAGAAAAGGAAAATGCATGTGATTTTGATGCTACTGAGGATGATGATGATGCTGGTCGTAAAAATAATGGATTCTATGATTGTCGAGTGGACGCTATAGAAAGACAGCGTCTGCGAAAATAAGGATGAAGAGGAGGAAAAGGCGGAGGAAAGAAGAAGAAGAAGAAGAAGAAGAAGAAGAAGAAGAAGAAACGAGGAATAGATAGGGAGAAAAGCGAAAACGAAAGCAAAGGAATAAGAGGTGCTATATTGAAAGTAAAATATGAAAAATGGTATAGAATATATATATATATATATATATATGTATGTATATAGAAACAAAATAAGATTAAAGTGCTAGAATGCAAAACGAAAAGAAACATATAAAGGAATTGAAGGAAAAGATGGAAAAGAGTGGAAAAGAGTTAAAATAAGAGAAAGAGGGGAGAAATATAATGAAAACACACGCTTATATATAGTTCTCGGCCCAAGCAAGGTGCTAATTCAAAATAATTCCGACATAAGTTCATTTGGACAGATTCTTAGAAATGGTTCAAATCAAAATCTTTTCACCCAATATATATATATATATATATATATATATATATATATATATATATATATATATATATATACAACAAATGTACTGCGATTAAGCTTTTATTTAATTTCTTTTGTGTTCAAACAAGTCTCTTCTTTTCTGGACACAAGTGTGTAAAAAAAAAAAAACAAATGTTCTACAATTCCGAGCGATTTCGGCTATACGTTTAGCCATTATCAAGGATGGTTTTATTTTTGCTTTTTAACTGGGTGGAAGGGTTGTGTGTATGTTTCTAGATTTAAAAGGATTTTTTATTTACCGAACACAGCATATTTAAGCCGTGTTCGTAGCTAATATTATTGTGTGTTGACTTTTTCTTTTTTATTATTAAGGTTTCCATAATTTTTAATCATTTTTTACAGGTGGATAAGTTTTGTGTTTTCTCCTAGTATGTTTCTGATGGAGTCTCGTAAATTTGTGTGTGTGTGTTTAAATGGGTTCTAATAGAGCTGTGGTCAGATAGGTGTAATATAAGGCGTCTGGATAAACATGTGGTAGTGTGACCAATGTAAATATGAATTTGGTTTGATCAGGAGCACAGTTCCTTAAGGGGCATTTGATATATATATATATATATATATATATATATATATATATTATAAATTAATTGATTTAAAATATGTTTTTTCCGCTACACAGTACTAACCATGTTTCAAAAATGGAAGCTAAAAGCCACGAATTACTGGGTTTTAAAGACACAACTAAAATCATGTTTCCATGGTTACAGATAAATCTACTTCAATTGGACAAGGGTTGTCTGGGTTTTTCTTATGTCTGTATCATTGGATCGGTTATTAGCTTCCTTTTGGTAAGGGGTAGGGATGTAGTTTTCAATGAAAACTGACATCCGTTGAATGCATGTCGTCTGGATTTTTTTTTAATTTATTGTTAACGACAAAAAAATTCTTACGGCATTTTTTTTTTTTATAAAAACAAGAACACCGGATTATACATCTTACTGTTCTTTCTTTTTATTTAAATACATACATACATACATACATACATACATACATACATACATACATATACATATATATATATATATATATATATATATATGGAATCTCAAAATATGTATACATATTTTGAAGCTTTCTTAAGAAATAGTCCAAGCAACTAGTTCCAAGAATATCTAATTTAAATAATGGATTCGAAGACAGTATTTATTATGAATGCATGGTCTTAAGATTTTGTCATTGCATGTTTTGAAAGTAATGTCCATTATGGTTCAGACATTCCTGACGACATTACGCTAAATAATCAGAACAACCAATCAACATTTCTTGCAATTCTATGTAAACTTTCCATCACCATTTCTTACTTCCAGGAGGATTCTTGTGTACACTGTCTACAGTACTATCAGCTTCAAACTTATCTCTAATCCGTGTGATTGCCAGATACGTGGGTGGCTCTGAATGAAACTCTCTTCAATAACGGCTTTAGACTTCAACTATATTTTCTTATTTCCAGTAGCATTTCAGGAGGGACTTTGTTCAAAGCTAACACGTAAAATCTAAAAAGAAAGCAAACTGACTTGAGTTATACACTGTAAAATAGATACAAATATTTAAGTAAATGCTTTGTTTATAATAAACAGTATTAACGACATTTACCGGCATGAATGCCCGAGAAATTTATATAGAAAATATGCGTCCTCCTACATGAATCGAACCTGTATCCTATACGAAACCGTCATATAGCCTCACGTGCTTTAGCGATTAAGCCACAGAGGTGCGTTTCGGTTATCAATGTCGATTTAACTGCTTTTAAACTTCAGTTCTCCATGAATTTCCCTCGTACATTCATATCTGCTCGATGCGTATCTCACTGTAAACAAATGACGTCACAAATTATGAACTGGACAAAATCCGGCAATTATTTTAAGACATTTTTTATGTTTATATGTTTTATGTTTATCTATACAAAAAACGTATAAACATAAAAAAATGTCTTAAAATAATTGTCGAACTTTGTCCATTTCATAATGTGTGACGTAACACTGTAAAATGTATATAAATGTTAAAGTACCACGTATGTATTTATGTTTGTATATATGTCAGGGTGAATTTAATGTTTTGGCTAGTCTAAAATAAGTTATAAGTGTATAGAGAAATAGATGAAGAAAAGAATAAAGGCGTAACAAAGGTGTGTGAATTGCTGGAAGAAAACGAGTAGGTTGATTTGGTTTGCTTTGGTTTGGATTGGTTTAATTTACGGCATACCAACACCTCTATGGGTTATTAAATGCCGACAAGATTTTTATTGCTGGTAATATTTTTCAAAAATATATTGCTGGTAATTTAAAAAAAATAATATATTGCTAGCAATATTTTTTTCCAAAAATGTATTGCTGGTATTAAAATCTATTTTTTACACTTTCATAGTGTTTTGACTGCAGTTTGGGGGTTAACTAATTGCCCATAGCTGGGACCCTAACAAGTGTTGCCACCCTGAGTCAGAGTAGACCTGGGAACAACAGCAATTAAGATGTGATTCCACGCTCCTCAGAACCTACTGATCAGAGACCTTGCTGTCGGATGTAGTTTATCGTCATACCCGGGACGCATTGAGGGCGTCTTACTCCTCTGCAGTGGTTCAATCGCCGTATTCTGAAGTCCCATTTGACTGCAGAAAGTTAAAAAAAAAAAAGGAGGAGAAAGATTTAATAAACATTGAAAGATATATCTATCTATATCTGTGAAATGAGATACTATTATTGGCATTTACATTATTCGGAATGTTATCCTCATCTTCATTGCCATATTCACAACGTTTCAGTCGTTGTACGATTCGGTCTTCTTCAGGTGATTGGAATTTCGAACCGAAAGACGTTGGTTAGATCAATACCATATCCCAGCAGTGGTGAACCAAAACTTGGAGTTGAGTTGAAGGAAAATAACAGATATCCGGATGAGACGTGGCACGTGGAACTAGAACAGTATACCCTGGTGGACGAAATAAAGGGTTCGGTTTGAAACTCTAATCACCTAAAGAAGGCCGGAGCGTACAATGACCGAGACCTTGTGAATATGGCAATGAATAATGCAAATAATGCAAGTAATTGAAAAATATTTTATAAAATGAAAAGTTAAAGGAAATGTTTTAGTCAGAAAAAAATGAAAATAAAAAATTCATATTCAAAGCAATAGAGGAAGGTAAAATAAGAAGGACTATTGCCCTCATCTCTGTCGTCATATTTATTACAACGTTTCGGCCGTTGTACGCTCCGGCTTTCTTCACGTCGTTGGAATGTCGAACTGATCCCTTTATTTCGCTCACTAGACTGTTCTAGTTCTAATGCAATGTATCCTCGAGGACACATGGCACAGTGGATAAAGGCGTTAGTTAGATCCAGTTACAGGATCCAAAAAGAGTGAGTTCAATACCTGATTAAGGCAGTAGAGAACGTGGAAGGGGGAATTAACAGGAGATTGACAACTGATATCCATTAAACATGGCACGTGGAACTGGAACAGTCTACCCCAGTGAGCGAAAAAAAAGGTTTCAGTTCGACATTCCAACGACGTGAAGGTCGGAGCGTACAACTGCCGAAACGTTGTAATAAATATGGCGACAAAGATCTAAACAATAGTCCGAATAATGTAAATAGTGTACGTAATACCTCATCTCAGAAATATAGACAGATACCAAAATAAGAAGGATTCTATAAAGAAGAAGAAAAAGGTTTAGAAAAATGAAAACTAAAAAAAAATTATTACGAACGAAATGAATGAAAAAGGAAAAATAAAAACAAGTAAATTTTAAAAAATAGAACAAGATAAAATAATTAAAAAAAAGTTTTAATAAAGACAGAGAAATGTTAAAGAAAATAATAAAATCAGAAAAAATGTAAAAAAAAAAATAGTAATAGTCAACACGATTTTCGGTGCCAAGAAACAAGACATATTTTCTAGCCAATTTGATGGTGCTGATTCCGAAAATGTACTTAGCTACCACTTTTACTGTACTGAAATTGTTCATTTTTGGAAACAAGATCAATTTATAGTCTTCGCTGGTCGCAAAATATAGTTAATAAAGATCGTAGAAACCCATCAATTTTCAGCTAGGCCGATCAATTTATGTCATCCACATAACATAAACTATTTTTATTAAAAAAAAAGTGTTATTGAGTCAAAATTTTTAAAACAGAAGTACCGAATTTTTCCAATTTATCGTCAAAATTCAAATTAACTGATAAACTTGATCAGTAATACACTTTAGTAAACTTGATAATTAATGTGACATCAAAAAAATGAACCCCTAAAATCTTTTGTTTGATATTCATAAATTTATCCCATCACTTTTATCCCTTCACTACGGAAGGAAACCAAGCATATTGAGAGGATTTTGCTTTTACAGTTGGAAAGAAACTCCAACTAAAGATATTCCAATTGAATGGACCAATTCCATTGTACATGTTACTGCAGACCAATATTTGTTGGTTTAGATACGAATTGAGAGATTTCTACAATTTTGTTTTGAGAAATATTGCCATCAGTCAATATCATATATACAGAAAACAATGCCATTTTTCCAAGAATGAGGCATTTCTTTACAGCAAAAACGATAGCTAACCAAGAATCAGGTCATTAACAGATTTAGCGTCCTCAAAAAAAGATGTTTGGTGTCTCGACATCATTTGAAAAATTTTTGTTGACCAGTGA